GGTTTGTTCTGCAAAGAAGCAAGACTAGCGGGTGTAGTATCAACACCTATCACTGCAATGGTAGCATCAATCAGTAAAGAATCAGATGTGTGGGTGCTTCTCCTTCTGGGTAGCCGGCGTGACCGTTGCCAGAGATCTTTGAGATCCCCGGACCTGTGACGGAAGACTGGACAATTTCGGGCATGTTTGGCTCTTGGCAGTGCAACTTGCAAAGACTTACAAAAGTCGCGCAAGGTCAGGTAGAAACAGATCAGCTGAGTCAGGTCAGCTTTGGCACAGTCACAGGCGTGGTCCAGTAGGTGCACCGCCCGCTTCGCCAAGGCGAAGAGGCAGACTCCAACTCATGACCCAGTGAGCTGTTGGTGGATGTCAGAGCTTTGAAACCCAACCCCCTAATAATCCCGATAATCCCCCCCCTAATACCTTCCAAGTAGTCTTCCAAGTATCCCAATTAAGCCCGTTGATGAGACCTTTTAGCTTGGGACCTGCTGTTCCCAAGCTCCTGGGTTTTCTAGCGATTTTTCTACTGCCAAGAGGGGTGGAAGCTTTTGCCGGTTCGATCGGAGGAGATTCCGATCGGAGATTCGGCACCAAGAAGCTTAGAGAGGTCCAAGTAGGTGGACTTGCAGGGTGAGACCCTCAGGGCTTCTGTGGCCTAAGGATTAGGATTCTGTTTCCGATCCCATGCCCATCCCCCGAACGTCCGGAAAGGCTGGTTTCCGGAGGTGTCTTCAGATCCTGCGAGCTTCCCACCAAGTGACCTACTCAAACAGACCTAAACCATCTGGTGTGGGTATGAGGGAGACACCTGCTTGGCCCTGCTGGGCTTTCCAGATAGTCGATACACGCCCTCTAAGTGTGACCATGAGCAACAAAGAGGCTCTTAATTGAGAGGGCACTTGCATCACCACGGCTGTAAGCACATCCCAGACGAATGCGGCCGCTTTTCCACCAATGTCCTGCTTTTTCCACCACTCAACAACGCCGCAGGCCCAGTAGTTCTGCCACAGCTTGCTAGATTATAATAGATTATATAACTAACTTTAACTGCACTTGCCTGAGACAAATGTCTGTAGCCGCAATAGATTATATAGAAGAAATTAACTTTGCAATTGAGTTTGCAAGAGGGGCAGGAGCAAGCAATCGGAACTTGCCACGGCCAGGGCTCATCGGATTGACTCGGCTGAGGAGCTCTATGACATTTAGGAGCTCACTGAGCACCAGCAACACCAGTAACGTCAGCCATAAAAATATGACGCGAGCACCAGGCATGGCACAAGCCGGTGGCGGCAGACATTCGTTTCACACTCCTTTTCACACTGCTGAATCCAATGTGTGGTGTTCCTCAATGTCCGGAGCTGCCCTCGATAGCTAGCAAGTCTTAAAAGCAGATGTTTGAGACAACAGCTGCAGACCATGAAAACACCAAGCTTTCCAGGTCGCTCATGCCAAATAAATAGAATCAATGTCTTTGGCACAAGAGGTCACACCATTTGCAGGTCCAAGCAGACACAAGGCCTGGTGGAATTCTTCAGAGTGGAGTGAATAGGATTTAGGATGATTTAGGTATCTAAAGGAATGGTTAGTTTCAGCTTGCAGCTCCTCATGCACCCGTGCATGTGAACTGAAAGAGCGATGCGGCAGATTCGCGCAAGCCGAATGAAGCGCCACCCTTCATCCCTCCTTCGAATGACATCGAGCGAAACACGGATGTGAGAAATTGTGCGGACCAGCCCAGTTCTGCGAGTGAGAGCTTCACCTGTTTAGAAGGTTCAGACTCTACCACAGTGCCGAAGGGTGCAGGCGGCAGCACGGGGTCTTTGAATAAATCTCTCACAGATGCTCATGTTCCTAGCTTGTTAGGCGGAGGAACATCTGTGGTTGAAGGAGCCAAATGGCTATGACCACGTGCTAGATTCATGCGGGGGTAGACTCAAGCACTCAGGCCGGCGGGCCTTCTAAGCTCCTCATGTTCTCATGACTCATCAATGATGGTGTTTTCGTGCTTGACATGGCAGGTCCCTTGACCTTTAGTTGCAGAAACTCTAGAATGGTACCTTGCAGGTCCATAGTGACCAGCGTCACAACCAGTTCTGTTTCAACCTTGGCGGGACAATAGGTTTGGAGCAGAAGAGAAAGCTTGTTTCATCGAGCCTGTTGAGATATCAAAAAGTTGATTGCCTCACTGACCTCCTTCTTGTGCAACATGGGCAGTAACATAGCCGAACAGTCAGATGTTAAAATTCGCTGCGGCGGCCAGATGATGCCAGATGCCAAATGGATGTTGGCGATGGGTCGGTGTTTGGGAGCTTAGTCCCAGCCTTGCGATGCATGTGATATACTCCCCTGTCAGATGAGAGATCTACCAAAAGTAGTGCAGAGTTGGTGAAACAGGTCGTGAATGAGGGCCAGCAGCTTGTACTAGTAGCTTTAGCAGCATGTGCTGTGCCATCCTGACGAACTCCACAAACCCTGGAGCGTTGTGGGCCCGTTGAGCCAGTTCATTCCGAAGCAGTCCAAGTGAAACAGCTTCAGTGCAGAGACAGTCCATGAGACACTCCATACCTCAAAGCTCTCGCATTCTTTCGCGACTCGGAGACCCTTCGTTTTGACCGACGAGACCCCGTTGTGACCAACCAAGACTCGCCGCAGGGCGGCGGGCATCGATCTGGTAGGTGGATGTAGGTGGTAGGTTGGTGAATCCATTGGCGTTGAATGGAGGAATGAGGTCGCACAACATGCGCTGGAGGGCGAGGTCTCACAGTTTGGGCCAAGGTCTCGTGGTTTTTAGGCAGGTCTTGCTCGGCATGGATTTGCACTCCACTCCCCAGTGGCTTGCTCTTTTTTGAGCAATTTTCAGTACTTCATCCGGGGCGGAACAGCTCAACTAAACGACCGCTGGAGGCGTTGAAAAAGGATGTTACTTCGACGAAGGTGAGGTGGCTTTTGGTTTGGGAGCTTGGGGACCCACAAGATCAGCGGCTACCCAGTTTTGGGGCGGTTAAAGAGGGGCATACAACGGATCCGAAGGCAATATACCCACAGGTGCAAAAAACATAGTCCTGGGAAAACTTGAGGCGCGCAAAAACTTGCCAGTGCAGGGTGATAGGCGGTAGATAATGCGGAACAAAACCCACCACAAAGATGCAGTGAAAGTTTCAGTGAAAGATTGAGACCACAACTTTTTCCATGGGTTTGGGCATGGTTCGTCTTACCAATACCGGTCTTTGGATTGTTTTTGATGCATGTGCTTGCAAGTGCTCGACTTGACCCAGAAATCCCAGAATCAAAGAGGACCCTTTGGAACAACTTTAGCCGCTAGCTAGCCTCTAAAAGCTTCGTATAGACTGTTCGGATCTGTTGGTTTCCTGAGCCAAAAACTCGCAAAATCTGCCAAGTGTGGGACCCACCCTTCGATATTGAAGCATATTGAAGCTCTAAGCTTTTGTGTAAGTTGTCGCCAGGTTTCACTTATTCAGGAAGTGATGGACATGTCGGACATGCCGATCTTTATATATAAAGCCATCCAAAGCCCCTGACTCCTCCAAAAGCTACAACGAGCTTTCCAAGAACACTCGACCTACCTCGGCTTGCGGAACCACCTGTGAGACGGTCCGACGGTCTGACGTCCGAGACAGCAAGTGTTTTCCCTTGTGCGTTTTTGGGGCCCGGGGATTGCATGCGAAAAAGCGGGGCTCCCACAGGGCACAGCAGGTTGAATGGCTGAACGACATAGGAAACGAAAGGCACGATGTATACATCAATGCCAAGCAACAACCGAAAACCATGGTGTAGGCACCATGCATCACCATGCCACCGAAACTAGCTTGACAAGCAATCTAGATGTCGTTGCTATGACGGAACTGCGCGAGGACCGAATGACCGGCAAAAAAAAACAAATCCATCCACAGAAACCGCTTGGTGGTGGCTTGGCTTGGCGTACGTGCGTTCTCCTTCCCTTCCGCGCTCAAGGTTTAGTTCGCTTCTATAGATGTTTGAGACGCTCATGCACACCAACGTAAGCTTGGCCAATCTCAAATGCTTGGCGCTTACTGCCTTTGGAGATCCACTGAGCCCAGAAATGCCTTTGGATTCCACCACCTTGGACCGATTGGGTTGCAAGCGACAAGCACCACAAGTGCACAACAGTTTTCATGCATTGGGGGAGCAGGGTTGGGTGTGTAAGTCGGCCCACCGTGGTTCAATTCAATAGTTGATGTAGCACACAGTATACTCATGCAATAGCCGCCCATGCTCCGCATGATCGGCGGGTCTTCGGCTGAGGCGGGATGGTCGCGGGACGCAGAGTTGGAGATTCTGCGAACATGGGAGGATGGTTTCGGACATCCGCTGCCCCAAATCTGTATGGGAATCATGGAAAGAAGATGAAAGAATTAGGGTTGCATATGGTTGCATGATTTGTCGCAAGATTTGGGAAGTTGTTTGTCACTGTGTGCTCCACATTCTTGGATTCCCTGATCGTCGCTCAAGCTGGCTTGGGCATCACAGAGGGAGAGCAAAAGAATCCCCAGCAATTCTCAGGACTTCCATGTTTCGGACAGTTCAAGCGAAGAGATTCGAGATGTGAGGACAACTAGTCTATTCATATAGAGGATCTTTATCAGGTTTGTGCATGGAAGTAGGAATCACTAGACCCAGGTCTTTGATGGTTTTTGGACATTGGCCCCAGTATATCATGGTGGTCGGTGAGGTCGTTGCCGCGTTGCCGAATGTGTTTGGCCCCGCGGCCCCGCGCTGTCAGGCCCTCCGGACAGCCAGGCAGGTTCAAAGCGAAAGATCACGTTCAATTGGAACTGGAGTAAGACATGGAGTAATCGTTTGTCTTCGGCCTTTACTATTCTTTTGTTGACTGCAGACCTCAAAAATTGAAGCATCGTGATGCGCTTTCCAGTTGAAATCAGTGCTGTTGTTCCGTAGCGCGTGTTTCCTCTTCCGTCTTTCTCTTGAAATGACTTCTTAGGTGGAGTTGTAGGGATACTTGTCAACAAGTTGTCTTTGCTACGCCGAGTCCAGCAGCACCAGCCGAGCTCAAGGGCCACCCGAGAAAGACGATTTCTTTGGGCGACATGGGTCAGTCCTTCTCGCAGCAGAGTGCTCCAAGCGAAGCATCGCAGACTGCTGAAAGCAGTCTCGTTTCTGATGCTGGGTTTGCTCTCACTGCCACCAAGGTCAGCTTGACGATGCACAATCCCATCGCTTTGGCTGCATGCGGTGGCTTTGTTTATGGACGGCACCTAGCCCAGGGAGATGTTCCTGATCCATTGGGAGCTGCGCAAAAGTTTGACTGGTTGTATCAGCAAGCTCTGGCTGCAGAGGATGCGGGCTGGCTCAAAAGGTCTTCCATGTGTGGAATTCCCGTTCTTGCTGTGCCTGCGCTGTCCAGCTTGTTGGGTTTGCGGTCCGAACAACAGCAACCAGAACCCCATCCTGAATGTGAAACAAGTCTACGAAAGCAGGGTGGAGGGCACAACTGTCCGCATTCACAAGACGCAAGTGCCAGCATTTCTTTTGGACAATGGAATTCCAGTCATGGACTCATCCGAATTGGAGCAGCACCTGGCACAGGAGCTTCCGAAGATGCTCCCAGTCAAACATTGTCAATGCATTGGCAGTTACAGCATCAAAGGTAAGACACGATCGGCTACTCTGAGCGAGACTAGCTTGGCGGGTTTGGAGCCAGGCGATATCAGATTTCGCATCAAAATTGATCATGACTTTGAAAAGTACACAGCGGACCCTCAGAAGTACGAGGACGACTTGAAGTGTGTCATTCTGAAGTCTCTGGGTTTGGATGCAAAAAAGATTCCGGGCACAAAGCGGCACATCAAGATTGAGCAGGTGACAGAAGGCAGTGTGATCGTGGGCATTGTCATCGGAATCCCAGTTCTTGCAGCTGCAGCCTTTGTAGGCTACATGGTCTACAGACGTTCTAAGAAGCTTGTCGAGGGGTCTTTTCCTCAGAGGCCTGCCCCTTCCAGGAGCAGAAGGACTCCCGGAGCCCACCCCCAGGGATTGACAGTCCTGCAGCCAGCTCCCGCACGGACATTGTCTCCAGCATTGCAGCTCATTCAACGTGAGGTTTCAAGCATGTCTTTGCAAAGCAGCGGCAGCAACAACAACAGCAGCGGTGATGACTGGGAAGTTGTGGTTCACGTGTCACCGACACCCGCATGCTACTTGCGCGACACATTGTTTCAGACGGAGTTCGAGCAATACATCAAGGCAAAGAATCTACGGGTAGATTCTGAAGTTCTCGGCATCTCAGGGCAAAAGCTGCGGGTGATGTCAAAGGTGGAGCACGGCCGTGCGATGCGTGAGCTCGTGACCCTACACACAGCACAAGCCGTGCTGAGCATCACTGCAGATCATCGAGTGGCAGTGAAGGTTGAAGGTAGTTCATTTCCAAAGGAGGCTGAAGCTGGGCAGCTGAGAAGAGACATGCATGTCTTTTGTGGCTGCCGGCCGCAGAAGCTCACCAAAGTGGTGAGGTGGCAAAGCCAGGTGGAGGCGGGCTGCACCGAAAGTCGCAGGTGTTTATGATGTTTTATATATTATAACTTATAACATTGCACGATATTATTATGGACAGTATCATTATCTTGGTGAATATGAAGCTTGTTGACTAACCCGTTTCATGTTTCTTCGAGTTGATGAGATATAGGCGGTGCCCATGATGACCTTTGATCCTGTCATCCGACAACTTTTGGGGAACATTCCCCCCAAAAAGACCGTTGATGGTCGCAGTCGAAACGGAGTCGAGAGCGTTGATGGTCGCAGTCGAAAACGGAGTCGGGAGTTCGTTGGTGGCAGGTGGTGGAGTTGAAGTTCTTCCCAGACTATCCCATTGAGACCTTCGAAGCACCCCGCTGGGGCCTCGGGACCTACGGCCAGCGCCACCATGCCGCCATCCAGGCACGCAGTCCCTTCGGCCCCTTGGTGGTGGATGAGGTGGAGCCGCCAACCATGCCAAGGAGCCAGACGGCGTAGCGAAGTGAGGCTCATAGGGTTTGGAAATGGGAAGCGCCTGAACTAGCATGAGCTATATGTTGTGCAGACAAGTTGTGTGATTGTGCATGTTCGAGACTTCCCCTGGAGCTTCACAGCAGGATCAGG